GAAATAGTATATGAATTTGTTGACAAAGTGATAATGAATCATAATATGATATTATATACGGGGTGTTCCATTTGAAAAATCAAAGAAGCCGCTACTTTATAGTAGAAGCGACAACGCCGCTTTGTCTGCAATATTTCAGACGTGTAGGTCATATTGATTTATGCATACTGTGGAATTTTCAGGTTGATCCGTTAAATAGTTTGTCAGAAACGTCTAATTAACTCTCATCATGAAAAGCCCTGTATAACAACTTCGATAAGGTACGCTTTCAGAATGCAGAAGAGGATTAGGAGTGTGTCTCTTGGGTGATGGGTGCAGCTTGTATCCTATAGCCATGGGAGAGCATCTTTCTGGTATGGACCAAAGGAGCTCTACTTTTCAAGCTAATTATTTGTGTTGCTTATTAACCTGACAAAGATAGTAGCAGACTGACCGTCAATTATGTCTTCATTAGATTGAATAAAATATATCATGGTTTGCCAACCTTTAAGGTGAATATTTTCCATTAGAAAATTCAGGCCCTGGTAGTTCTTTGCTTACCAGGTAACCTGAAATATCATCCACCAAGTGAGGTGATCGATTTTGTTAACAAGATTAGTCTATCTAGTCGAGTTGAATAGATGTAAGCTACAATAAATCTTCACGGGTTAAGGTGCAGAGTTATTCAGAACAACTCTTTATCGTTTGAAGTTTTCGAGTTCGTTATTATTCACTGAGTAGCCAGAGTGAATCTGATGACCTTATTTCGAATATTCAATGGTTAGAAACAACGAACCTGAATTCAATTTGGAAAAATCAATATATTTCATTAAATTCAATACAATATTACCTGAGTCCCCAATACAATATTTCCACTAATTCAACAAAATTCATAAGACACGTCTATGGATTTTCTTACCTCGGCCGGAAAGGCATATCCATTTATTGAGTGCTCTGAGCCGAACTGGTCGTGGAGGCCGTAGTGGATGTGGATTTCTTGAAATTGATATTTATAGGACAGAGGACCTCCAGTTACATTGATGTGATGCCTAGTATCGTTTTCCACGGTGAATATAATGCTGTGGCCCGTGTTCATCATTGACCCGCTCACCTGGAATGAGAAGGGAGAATTTCATAGGGACTATAAAATGGATTTATGCGGAGGTGAACCTTTTGATATTCATGACTGTCGTAGATAAACTCATTGAATTATTCATTCAAATTGAAAACTCCAATCAATCAGTTGACATATACGAGGGTGGTATGAAAAGTTTCCGACCTAACAAAGATAAAGGACATTTTTTAATTTTTTTCAACGTAGTCCCTTCTCAACCCCACACACTCTTCCCAGCGATGCTCTTATCTCTGTAATCCGTCCATTTAATACTCGACGTTTTTCTCTGCAAAATAATTGTTCACAAAAGTGATTGCCTCTCCATTTGACGTAAATTCCCGTCCTCTGAGAGCAATTTTCATATTAGGTAACAACACATTACAATAGAAAATAATTTTTGATTCGTCAAATCATATTATTCGTTCTACTATGTATGTATTTATACATATTCAGCTATAATATGGGTATGAATTCACTGAGGAACCCGATAATCTACAATGTAGCAGCTTTTGAATATTAATATGATTATTTATACATTTGTATATCTGGAAGTGAACATAAACCCCGTCACAAAGACGCCATATATAGGATTCACAAAAGATTTGGCTATCACATCGACATCAACCGTAAATGAGAGTCGCAAGGTAGGATTCGTGTTAGGAATCACACGTTGAAAGGTAAGACCTCGTTAGTCCTTAGCTCGCACAAGTTTCTCAACTTCTGAGAGTTGTCGTTCGTATGGGGGTGACAGCTGATCAAAAGAAAAACAGATTTTTAGATTTTTAAACTACATTAAACTGGAGCCCAAAAACTGAAGTGATCGGAAATCAAACAGTGCATTTCCTACTTGCAATAGGTCTTATGATGCTAGGCTACATTTTCAGTACACTATTGGACTCAACTGCCCTTGAAAAATAATCAGAGTAGATGTATACATGGATATATTTTCTAATGGAGATACCCCAATATAAGAAATTTGCTTATTCTTGNTTTGAACAATTATTAGTAGCGAAAGCCTGAATGATAGATATTTCGCTCACATTGAGAAGTCTGATACACTTGGAACCACCCCAATCGTTGAAGAACTCAAATAAAATCGGAGATCTTCCTAAACTCCACCAAGAATCAAAATATTCAGCAGTTTCGTTAGGTCTAAATTTTGATGTCAGGCAGCGGAGTCCCAGACTGATCGGAAACATACTCTAGAAAAAAATGTATCAATAAATGATTTCACTATCGTATGAGATCTCTGACTGGACTATATCGTGATATTATCATCATGGTCATTTGTGAACTGCTTTCCACTACTCCACAACGGTTTTGACATTTCATCGAATGGTTTTTCCATTATTCTCAATTATTCACATGAAACACGGACATTATGGAAACGGTATTGATTCCACTGGTACCTTTATGTGGCGAAACGAGTGATTAAGCTTGAAGTATCATGTGGTTATCTGTGTTCATTTCGATATCGACCATTATTCCAATGAAAAAAACCAATTTCATCCTGTATATATAGAATAAGTGCCAATAAACATTTCCTGAATAATTCCTGAATGACTAATAGAGCTTTGAGAGGTGTATTGTTGTTTTCTTTCATATTTTCATTTGTTTCTCTATTTATATAGATCTGAATGAAATGTCAGTTTTTGAAAACACTAATATAGACTTCGATGAGGCTTTTGTAAAGGCAGAAAGTATAATTTTGAATGAACTTCCACTCTTTATGGTTCTAAAAAAAATTAAGTTGTGATAAATGATTTCATATAGGTGTGAAGAGGGCAAACTTATAGTTCACATGTAGTTCATATTCTTTCCACAAAGAAAACTCTGTTGTTCATCTGTACCTGTCGTCAACTCGAAAGAGTATGTTTATAAAAACGAATAATTTTTGGGGGATTCCCATAATTTTTGTATAAAGCGCAGAAAGCCACAACTTCTTTCTACCTTATTGTATTCAACAGTTTTTTTATATAAGAGATTTCAATACATAGTTTTCAAAATGTTTCGGTGGCAAACCTATGGTTTCGTTTTCAGAATTGAAAAATAATTTTTTTTAATTCAAACTCACAGTTCATTGTATTATTTTCACTATGATCATACAATAAAAACATACAATAATGATACAATTAACTATATTAATGACATTCAATATGGATTTTTATCAAGTAACGGATAGTTTTATTCAATTTTTAAAATTCGCCGCGTATTCAATCTTCTTTCACAAAGATAATTTTCTTTGATGACAATTTTTTTGTCACAGGTTTTTTCACGGTATTATTAGGAAACTTATAGTTTCCGGCATAGTTTCAAACTGAAAATTCTGTTGAATAATTGAGAGTGTT